GACACCAGTCGTTATCAGCAGATGCTGAATATTCTCACTTTCGCAATATTCCTTAAACATATTCGATGTAAAGGCAGCGCCCCGATCCGTAATAATACGCCTAGGGTTGCCAAATACCGCGGCTTGTTTCTTTAGTCTTTCTACCACCGCTTCCGCTCCCGTATTTTTGGTTGGATATAACCACACGAACTTACTAAATGCATCGACCACCACCAAAATGTAGTTGTACGACTTACTGGTCGTTTCTAGTGGCCCCACATGGTCAACATGGTACGTTCCTAACGGTTTATCTTCTTTGTTTATGGTATTGAGAAACCCTTCTTTCTTACCAGACTTTGCTTCGTTTACAATGCATTCAATGCAGCTCTGAACTATTTTTCCAACTTTGGAACTGATCTGAGGAATATAAAAAGTTTTCTCCAATACGTCTTGGGTTTTCTTTGTCGAGAAATGCCCTTGCCTGTGTGCCATTTTTATTATTTCCTCCTCCATAAGTACTGGTACAACTATTAGTTCCTTTTCAGGATTTTTAAAAAGGATATCATATTTAATATAAAAATCGTTGTATTCGTCTTTTTCTAAGATTTTTCGTACTGCCTTCGTCCATTCATCTTTTAGCTGAGCTTGTTTAAGGCGAAACTTTAGTGAGTCTTCAAGCATCAAACAATATACTCTGCTCAACGCGTCGACATGAGCCATTCTCGTCCCCGCACGATGCTCGATTTCGTAATTAAAATCTTGAAGGAACAACGCCCATCTTGCAATCTTCGGTGGGACATCTTCTCTCTTAAGAGTCATGGTAAAGGCGTTGCAGTCCGTTACGATTTTAAACTTGATGCCCAACAAATATATCCTCCATTTTTTTAGAGCCTCGATAATTGCTAGTACTTCAAGTTCATAAGCTGGATAGTTTTCTTCTACCGGTTTCGTTTTCCTGCTCATGTACTGTACCGGATGTAGCTTTTGATCATCGGGATCCATTTGTAGTAACATGGCTCCATACCCGTACTTACTGGCGTCGGTATGGACTTCGGTTACTGCACTTTGGGAAAAAATTCGCAATACCGGTGCTTTTTGCAAGTGCGTCTTTAGCTGCTCGAAAGCGGCTACCTGTTCTTCACCCAACTTGAAAACGACGTCTTTTCTCAATAGATTTGATAACGGTCTAGCAATTAACGCATAGCTTGCTATAAAACGTCGGAAGTATGACGTTAAGCCCAAAAACCTCTGCAAACTCTTCTTGTCCGATGGTAAGGGGAAATTTCGCACTGCCGCTGTCTTGTCTTCTGAGATTTGTATGGTGCCAGCTTTAATAATGTACCCTAAAAACTCTACTGTCCTGCTGAGAAATTGGCACTTCGACCACTTTATTTTTAATCCATATGCCCTACAGACCTGCAATACCTCTTTAAACTTCTCTATACCTTCAGCCTCATCTTTAGAAGGAATTATTAAATCATCCATATATGTAACTACTGTTCCTTTCTGGATTAGCGTCCTAAATACAGCGTTTATATACCTACAGAAGACCGCAGGTGAGTTGCAAATACCGAAAGGTACAAAGCGAAATTCGTATTGTCCGTTGCTAGAGATGAATGACGTGTACTTCATTGATTGTGGCTCTACAGGCACGTGAAAAAACCCATTGGACAAATCTAGTGTTGTAAAAACTCGACCCCCTTGGAGCCTATCTAAAACATCATCCATTAAGACCATAGGGAAATTGTCCCTTAAGATTTTCTGATTCAATCGCCTATAGTCGCAACATAAGCGCTTACTTCCATCTTTCTTAGGGACAACTACAATGGGCGAAGCATAATTAGAGCTACTGGGCTGAATTATTCCTTCTTGTAACCACTCCTCTATTTGCTTATCAACAAATCGTCGGTCGTCAAAGGGCATACGTCGCGGACGTTGATATACAGGTATTTCGTCTGATAATACTATTTGCATTTTTACTGGCGATGGACAATTCCCTGCAGGTGCGTATGCGCTAACTAAACTTTCTACCGCTTTAGCAAAACTCTTTCCTAAATACTCCAAATTCAGTGTAGGCTTATCCTTCATCTCTGTTAAATTCATGACATCGAACTCTTGAATCCACCCTTGTTTGTCCTCCGACTTTTCTAAACTAACTTCCTTACTATCGAGTTTAAACTTTTCAGCATCCGCTGTTGCTTGACTGTCTTTAAATATTGGCTTACCGGCCGAATCTTTTTTCTTAAAAAGAACTTCTTCATCCGTTAATATAATGTCAACATCTTTAAGAATGGCCTTTCCTATAATTCCTGCGAACTGAATGTCCTGTTCTCTGACTACATGGAAAACTATATTTAACGATAAGTTATCTACGTGCATCAAGGTTTCGAAGCTGCCTATTGTTTCAATAACGTTCGCACATGCAGTGTAAAGCTTCTTCTTATCACCACCCAACTTTGTCTCGCACCCGCTCATTAAAAGCGTATCATATCGGATTAAATTAAGTGAACACCCTGAATCGATTAGGGCTTCAAAGCTAAAGTCATTTATTTTAACGGTCTTAAAATGCAACTCACTTTTCACACTATTCAAAAACGGTTGAAAGATCTCATCTGTCAATGTGTTGACTGAACTCGGTTCTTTTTTTGTTTCTTTGGATCCCTTGCCCTTGCATTCGAAAGAGCGATGACCCATCTCGTTGCACTTAAAACATTTAAACTGCTTTTGTGAACACTGAGCTGCCATATGCGCTTTGTCGCCACACTTAAAACACCTTTTAACCAATTCTGCTTTTGGTTTTACACCTGAGCTGCCTTTATCTTTCGCTGTATCGTTTGATTCTACTTTACCTAGAGCTACATTGGACCTGCGTATCTTTTCATAAATTTTCACTTGTTCTTTTAAATCCTCAACACTCTTTGCTTGATACAACACAGTCTTGTTAAATTTAGAATCGGGAATTCCCTCTATGAAATAATCGATAATGCTTGCCTCTTCCAAATTAATCTGTTTGCCAATCTCAATAATATTGTACAGGTATTCGCGAAACGTTTCATTTGCGTTCTTACGTCGATTCTTCAAAATTTTATGAACTTCCGATGAAGACAATTTACAACAAAATTCGTTAATTAAAGCAGTTTTTAACGATACCCAACTGTTAACATTGCTTTGACTTTTAATAAATAGTTTAGCAGCACCGCGCAGAAGCTGCTTACCGTATACAAATTTTTGCAAATCATTCCACTTAACAATAGCTGCGTTCATTTCGAATTCATTAACCCAAAACTTAATATCAACGGATCCTTCTCCGGTGAAGGGACTAATACAATCACCCAAATCTTTGAGGGTGAACTGTTGTTGATGCATAAAGGACCGAGAAGGCAAAAGATTGTTGCTTTCTTCAACATCGTTATATACCGACTGATTGGACTCATTATCACTAGCCTCGTTTCGCGACAAACCGTAGTGCTGGAGTAGTCTGTCTTGAAGCTCACGCTTCTGTCCTGAAGTCGAAATCCCCAACTCCCGTAACTTGTCTTTAAGTCCATTAACCGTCAACGTCATCAACTCGTCTGCGTCCATACTAAATTATCCAGCAAGTACTCTTTACAAAAGTATGATTATAGTTTTATTGCTTACAGACTAGTAATTTTCTTTAAAAGAAATATTGTTTCGATTCTCTTTAAATTAATAAATTATTTGAATTCAAATTAACTTTTACACAAATCAAAAGCAATCTTATTTATCGTACTTCTATTTGCAATACTTCTTATTAGAATTTATTCTCTTTACGCTTTTAGTTCATTTCACATTCTTTGTTTACCTTGTGTTATTTTAAACTCTTATTCTTAACTTCTAGTATTCACTTTCCCTTTATTTCTTATTAGAATTTACTTCCTATTAAAATTCGCTTTATTTGCGTCCAAACTTTATCTCGTATGTTTGTTTTCAAATCGTATCCCTATACATCTTATTAGAATTTACTTCTTAGTTTTCGATTTCACAACTTTACTGCATTCGCATTTGCCTTCTTTAAATTCAATTTCTCGACTCAATCAATTTATTTGTCGACTTCTTCTTTTGCTTTTGCAAACACCTTTTTCACATCTTCGTCTTATTTCATCTTAAAACTTCTTTGAGCAACTTTTAAATTTGTCTTTACAACTTCACTCATTTGAGCATTTAACTTCTTACATCATTCTTCATTTACACATCTTTACTCTATCGAGCTTTTTCTTTCAACTTGAAGTTCTTCTTGCTTTTTCTGTCTTTGCAAACTTGCATATGAAATCTACTTCTTACCTACTTTCTATCTCCTGTCTATTTTCTTCTTTCTCGCTTTGATTGATGCTCATCTTCGGTTTTCGCCAACGTCCAATACCCGATGCTTTATGTCGGTTACGAATTTGAATATTGTATGCTGTTTCTACTTGACGATCTTCGGCTGCTGCTGAAGTGTTTCGCTGTGTCGACTTCGCTGCTTTGACTACCGGCGTTACTTCGCTGTGGTGTCGACTTCGATGTACAATTCTTGACGTCGACTGCGCTGCTTTTTGGCGTCTCGGTGTATTGTAGCTGATATAGCTGTACGAAAAATGCTTTCTTGGATTTTAACTACGAAATGTGCGTACTTTGATGAATTCCGCAATAGTTTCGAAGCTTATGCTCTGCTCACAACTGGACGCAGCGACAATTTAAACATTTTATGCACATATTCATCTGCACCTTCTTTTCTGTGTCGGTAAAATACTTTTCACTGCGCTGCTTTACTGCTTCCAAACATCAGCTTTTAATTTCTGTTAGCTCTCCACTCGTTGAAATTCCTGGCTGAGCCCCCAATTTTGTAGGACTGCCGGTAGAGAATACCACTCAAGTCCTCGATGTTCCCCGGATTCTTTTCCGATTAAGACACGTACTACGACTTTTAAAGTTGATGTAGTATATATTTATTCAAACAATATACACATATTGAAGTAATATAATTAAAGTACAAAAAGTAATACTATTTACAGCAGTGTGTTGCGCGCAGTGGCGTCTTTTCCTTTTTACTGTCCGACTTCAACTAACTCAACTGACCGTTCGTATTTGGCGATTTCAAAAGTTGGTCGTGCTTCGTTGGGTTCGTCCACTTCGTTTATTTAAATGTCATCTGTCATCAGTCCGGTACCCTACATCCAGCACTACATTCGGCCGTCCTGCTCAGTCATTCGCCCTCGAATGAATTAGTCCATTTTTTCATATACTCTGCAACAGTTGATGTCTTCCCCGGTCCCTCATGATCTCCTACCTTTTCAACCTCGTATCGACCATGGCTAAGTTTCTTTACGATCTTATAAGGGCCTAAAAACTTTGCTTTCAATTTTAACCCCGCCCCAAATTGAGTTCTCTTAACTGCTACCAAGTCATTTATATTATAATTAGTTTCCTTTCTACGCCGAAGATTATATGACCTACGATTTTCCTCTTG